ATGTGTATGAAAATAAAAGCTATTAGAAGGATTTTGAGCTTTATTCACTTTTTTCAATACACTGCTATTATTTTGAACACAACCGTATACATATACATGATGCAGAGTGTGTTCCCATTAGAGAGGATTGTAAACGATCAAGCTTTGGAACCTTATGCATTGAGCAATATATTTTCTCTAGAGGAAGTTATCAAATGTCATCAACTTTCTTATCTATTGATTTGATGGGCACCCTCCTAACAATGGGGGATACTATTTGAGACCTGTGGAGTGTGGTGTTATTTTTTGTTGTTTTTAGACATGTCTTTGTCTTATATAGGAATCGTTGTGTGCCTTTGACCACCAGCCCTTCTATTTATTATTCATTATTTAATATAATCATATACATAAACAAACCCAATATCCTGGTTGAGTCCATAACTAATCGGTTTTTGTTTGGTTTGCCACCTTAGATTGTTGTCTTTAACCTCCACAGCCATATGGTGCAGTGTATTTTTAACTGCACTAACATGTTGATCTGTTTTGGAGATCATATGTCTAATTTTGTGTACATGTTGTTTAAAGCTGGAAAACATTTTCAAAACATGAGGTAAGGAAGGCTGGGCAGTGTTGTTTGGCCTCCATGATTTGTGATTGGGGGTCAAGGGACAGCTTTGTGTCCATAGAGGATAAGGACCTGTAGAGGGTGAATGAAGGCTTGTTAACGGTCTGGAGAGACTCATTAGTTTGCAATTCTATTCATAAATGCTGATGCAAGACTCGTCCACCTTCCTGATCACTCAGTGACCACTTTCCCTGTCAAACACTACACTGGTTCAAAATACTAACAGACAATGCCATCCACAATCCTGCCCCAAGCTACATCCCCAACCTTGTCTCAAAATATCACCAAAACCATCCTCTTCATTCCTAGAAGACCACCTACTCTCTAGCTACCAAGTCACCTCCAGGACTTTTCCAAAGCCTCTCCCTCTTTCTGGAACTCCCTAACCCAATCTGCTCCTACTTTGTCTACTTTTGAAAACTCACCTCCTCAGGGAAGTCTATGCCTTCTCTAACAACTTTACTTCTACTTTTTCCATCAGCTCATCCGCCTTCAGTTATTACCTTTTGTATTACTTGGCGCTCTCTTTGTAAGCTCTTAGGAGCAGGGACCTCATAATCTCTTTCATTGAACTGTATTGTCACTGTATTTTCTTCCTTTCCTTTGTAAACATCTAAACAAACTGTTGGCGCTACATAGAAACTGTATAATAATAGTATTGGAAGTCCCACCATGGGGAGCCACAATACAATCTTGGCAGCTGTATTAATGAGTCTTTTGCCTGAGCTTTTTGCAGAGGAATGGCCCATATTGACCATCCTGAATGTTTTGTCAAGCACCAGAGAATAGGCAGGCAGAATGGAAGCTGGATTTGGGTACCAAGAGTGGATGGATCACAGGCATGATTATGACAGATCTCAGGTTAAGAGCTGCTCACATTTTAGAAGTTGAACCTGCCCCCTGGTAAGCCTTACAATAATGGTTATTAAAAAACTTGTATTGTTGTCTATATATAAGAGGGCTAACACAGTACCACATTCTAAATTATTACCAGATGGCCAAAAAAAAGAAAAAGAAAAGAAAACAAAATGAGGACTTTACAGGTACCAAAGTAGATTACACACTACATAAAATTACAAAAGGTTTATTTGTATAACATCACAGGATTGTAAAATACTGAACAGTAATGTAGCATAAGTACATTGCAAATGCACCTGTCTGTTCCAGAGATACAAGGTGCTTGACATCAATAACAAACTAATATAGTCTTGCCATTTTTTTCTATACTAAACATGTACATTGAAATACAAGAAATTGTAGCAAATGGTGGAGCATCTTTCCACTTCTCGACGTGTTTCACAGAATATCTCTGCTTCCTCAGGATGGAACAGTATCACACTATACATAATAAGAGAACTTAGAATGTGATGCATCTTTTATTTGGGCTTTTCTGGGTAATAGTGCTTTGCCATTTTTGAATCACAAGTAAGTTATGACTTTACTTCAGAAAGTACCCATTAGTGGGAAGATACTCTTTTCTGTAGCCCTACTCTTTACTTTGTTGCCTACCTGCTAACTGATACCTGGCAATCCTTATTAGAACCCAGAGTTGGCGAGGGTGGATCTATGTTTTCCTTCTCTGGTGCTTTTGTCCTTTTGTCCCTGTGTCCGCCCAGGGAGTGGCTTTGCCCCTTTTATTGGCTACCACACATATCTGGACTACTGCATGAGAATGTATTAAGTATGACATGTAGAAGGAACATATCTATTATGTCACATTTACATATTTACAATTGACCATAAATGGCTTTATGTTTCTAATCAAGCTATCTTACTTTGTAAAGCACATTTCTCAACCTTTTCAACACAGAGGAACCCTTGAAATAAGTTTCTAGTTTCAGGAAAGTCTCAGTACATTAGTGTGATGGTAAGTGACACTTGTGGTCATTGAGAAGAATTATCCCCTTACAGATAGATAAAAAGATTGATGATGTCAGTGGTAATTTGAGAGGAAGAAACTGCTCATTGCTCAAAGAACCCCTAGCAAACTTTGGAGGAACCCTAGTTGAGAAACCTTGATATAGAGTGTGATACTGTTCCATCCCGAGGAAGCAGAGGTATACCATGAAATGTGTTGAGAACTGAATGGACACTTTGCTATTTGCTACAATTTCTTTCATTTCAATAGAAACAATTGAGTACTGTCCGTGATACTTTTTTTATTTGCACTAACATACAATTTTGAGGACAAGCTTTCGGGGTATGTCCCTTCTTCAAGGTCTAAGCAGTACTGCTTAGACCTTGAAGAAGGGGACATACCCCGAAAGCTTGTCCTCAAAATTGTATGTTAGTGCAAATAAAAAAGTATCACGGACAGTACTCAATTGTTTCTGTCGCAAATGCACTAATACGGCTACAATCACCTCAAGCAAAATTGCATTTCAATAGAAATGTTTGGAATAAAAAAATCTACAAGAATATATCAGGGTGTTAATAGTGTTAATGGGCATGTTTGAATTAATTTACATACATGTGCTACAATACTCTGCGGTATTTTAGGATCCTGTGGTCCATTGGTTCCTAATGTTATACTAATAAATGTTTTGTAATTTTATGTTCCATTAGTTCTTAAAACATAAAGGAACAATAAAGTTTATAAGAATACAATGAGACAACAAGATGCAAGTTGTATTGGTACAAACAACATCAGTAACCAGGAAGATGTGAAATAAACAATCTTGTAGGCCGCAGAAAAAAATTAATGATGCTAGCAAAATCGTAGGCATATAGGCACCAATACCAATTAGAGGTAGAGTTGCTACATCTTGTTGGAGCAGAAGGAAAGGAAGGGGTGGTAGGGGAAGGGAGGGGAAGATCGAGTTGGTCTTTTGTAATTGTACATAGTGTGTGGGTCTCCTTGGATATCTGTAAACAGGGCCGGTGCTAGACTATTTTACACCCTAGGCAAGACCAGACCAGCTACTTGCCCACCCCCCCCCCCCCCCACCTAAAAAAAAAAAAAAAAAAAAAAACGGTAGAAAAGAAAATCTTAAATCAATAAAACATGAAACTGCTAAATTTCTTCTAATGTGCAACAATAAGTGCCATAAGATGCCACAAGCACCAATATTAAAGACAAAATCAATGTCATGGATGGACTGTATCTGTGGCTGGCAGTGGCGGGGTGACAGTTGTAGTGAGAGGAGGAGGATGGATCCACACTGACAGATCCCAGGCTGGAATATCCCAAGCAATAGGGGGAGATAAAATACTGTGACAGCAGGCAGCTGAACTTAGTGATCCCACACAGTGATAGATCCAACACCATACACCACCACCAACACTGACACAGATCAGCAGGCCCAGCAGGCACTAGAAGAACAGGCTGTGGGATCATGATGTCTTCACTCACTGACACATTGCACACGTGATGGATGGCCGGCTGGGTCACACTCACACAGACACGAGACATCAGAGTCAGACATTACCTTCCTCCGCAGGTGCAGCTCCGCCTCTGCTGATGAAAGGGAAGAGAAGGGCTGGAACTCCACAGTGATCAGCAGCTGCCAGCCGGCTTGCAGTAAAGGACTGAGTCTGAGAGGAACAGCTGTTACACTGGCCCCAGACACCCGGCATCTTCCTAAATCCTTTTTTCCTCCCCTCTGCTGCCCCTCCCCCTGAAGGATCATTCGTGGTGGCATCCCACATAGAGAGAGTGCTGGCCTTGGCTGCACCCAGGCGTTCCTAGGTGGCAGTGCGCGCTAGGTGGCTGCCTATTTTGCCACGTGGAAGCACCAGTCCTGTCTGTAAACAACTCAAGGTTTTTTTTGCGTTTTGAGTTGTTGTCTTGAGCTGTTGATCAATGTAGACGGGAGATCAGTTCCATGTTGCTCACTGCTCAAGGAACCCTTAGTAACCTCAGGAGAAACCCAAAACAAAAGCACCAAGGAAGGAAAACGCAAATCCACCCTGACCAACTTCAGGTCCTAATAAGGATTATCAGGTAAGTAGAGGTTACACAGAACCCTGGCAGAGAAAAGGTCAAAACTATGAGCTAGGGTTGTACATTAATAAAAGCTTTTACTAGCCATGGGGCTTCCTTATGGGGCAAGGGAGCTTGGCTGGCAGTATTTCAGTATCAGGTGATCACTTTATTAAATGCATCTTATTTCACACACTTCTCCTAAGCACGGGTCACATGAAGGATCTTCGCTATCTACAATCAACCTGGCCCCATCCCATTAGCTCCATTCAGCACCCAGATAAACTGAACACCACACGGGATCTGAAGATCTACAAAGCAGGTTTATAAAAAGTCTATCTCCCCCCAGATCTGAATCTTCAATCTCCTTCATTCACACAGCCTTTGCTGCAGAATATTTGCCATTGCCATGGAAACCTTATAGAGATCAGTAGAACAGGGGTGGGGGGTGAACAAGCATAGAAAAGAGCTTACCTGATTGTGACGTCCGTCTCCAGGCCGTCTCCTTCATTCTCAATCGTTTTTTCAAACGACATCTTGGTATTTTCTGGTGCCAGCTGTTTGGAAATGAGAGCAAAGACATCATTACACGGAAAAATCTTAGAATTTTAACATTGCTGAAGAATGAGGAGATTTTTACTGGCTTAGGGCTAAGCTACACCGGCGATTTTAATCTCTTGCTATGGAATGGTTTAACCATTAGCTGGCTGCCACTTTATTAGATTCGAGATACAAGGGAGATCACTATAGATTAATCACCAAGAGTAGTAATTGGTTGCCAAACCAACATACCATATGGCTCCCCTATTGACTAAAGCTGGCTATACACTAGTAAACTTTCAAATACTGGTATAAAAATTCTCAGAACATTCAATGACTTTAAGAATGTCGCTCGAAAATACTTCAAAATTTAATTTGCTTTTAACATCCAACCTTGGAATGAATGGACTTTCACAAGCGAAAACCACTGTTTCACTGTTAGAAATTCATTCACTCGAGAAAAATGTTATATCTTGTATATTTTGTCATTGCAGCTGAAAATGAACATCAATTTGACCCCGCTAACGATTAGAAAATTGAACGAACATTGTTAAAATAAAAAAATTCAAAGGCATTCTATCAGAATATGGCCAGCTTTAGCTAGACAAGTATACACAAGTGCATGTAGTAGCATCAAGCTTGCATGATCGCATTATGCTCTAGTCATATGTGATTGCTGGCTACAAGATGCTGCTTGTGCTATTTGTGGAGCTTACTCCACAGGGGGAAATTTATTAAATAATCAGCGGTCAACAAACAAGAAAAGGATTTCTCAAGGTACCGTACAAAAATCAAAAAAATCCATGATTAAAATCTATTTTTTTAATACAACCATCAAGATTAAAAGACAAGCCATTAACAGGTTATGTCAATGGTACTAATGACAATTAGTAATGCGATGGCCTGTCTTGGGATCTATAGAACAGAAGCAGGTATACAGAAGCAGCTAAAAAAATAAACAATTGTTATACTTTAAGAAAAGTTAATTTTTGTTTAATTCAGAATTAAATGTGTGTTGACTGCATATTACAAATAGATTATACTGTGATAATGGAATATGGGTATAGAAGATACACAGATATCATGTTGAGTAAACAATACCACATTATGACTTTTTTAAACTTACCATTGGTGACCCCCTGTGCCCAATCAGCAGAGGTTTGGCCCCAAGTGTCCCCTCCTGTCTGATGCAGGGTGAGTACATTCCAAGAGGGATAAAATACAGAAACAATAACACAGCGAGATATGGACCTGCTATAATCAGCTGGGAACCTGAAAACAAACACACATAAGACTGATTTACTGAAGGAGAAGGACAAGTGCAAGAATAAATTCACAGTTGGGTTCTACTGTGACAGCCATACATTTGCAATCAATAAATATCAACTTACTCCTTACCTTTGCATTACTTACTACTGACCCCTAAACTCTGCTTTACCTATCACTGACCTCTGACCTCTGCGCTACATTCTCCTGACCTCTGAACTTTGCGTTATATACTACTGAACCCTGAACTCTGCTTTACTTATCACTGACCTCTGTGCTACATTCTCCTGACCTCTCAACTTTGCGTTATATACTACTGAACCCTGAACTCTGCATTATTTACTCCTGACCTCTGCTTTACTTACTGACCCCTGAACGCTGTGTTACTCCAGACTGCAGTAACAATATGTACTGGAGGGGATTACTTGGTACATTTTGGATAGTACCAACCATCTTGTCACTCCAGCACCCCATATGATTGATATACGAATTAAAAAAAAATTTAAATTCTCTTTACCTGGGGCATGGACAGAAAGTAAAAGAAAATCTCCCTAATTGGGTCATAGACAGAGCTAAAACCCCCAAAATAATGCTAACTCCTCTCCACTCTAACCAAAAAAAATTTAATTTGGCTGGATTTAGGCTGGCCATCAGTAACCATACTGGTATAGTAGTAGATGACCACTGACTATATATGCCTGGAAATGTTCTTCAAAATACATCTCTGAGGACCATCATGGTAAAAAAGCAATATTAACCTAAGACTTATTTAAAGCCCGGGGGCTAAGTTGCCCTGGTTTAAGAAACAAAAAACAATCAGGAACTTTTCCCTCGCAATTGTTATTTGCTGCAAGATGTCTTGTCCCCAAAAGAGTAGAGACTGTAGGTGCAGTGTCATGGCCCCACCCGTGAGGATAATGCCCAAAGCTCACAATGAATCATTGAGGGCCTCAAGGGGACAGTAGGGCCAATGGAGAGGGGAAGCACATAATTGTGCTTTAATAACACTGATCTCAATCAAGTGTAATGCCTGCAGAGTACAGAAACCCAGAGCAACCAAACAGCTATCAATGTGCTGAAAATAATTAATTGAATGATGAATGAAGGTTCATTACTTGCACATCACCATTAAAAGACGTATGAATCAGTTCTGAGCTAAACATTAAAAAAAATTTTTGTACATTACCCACATATGATCTATGAGGACAAGTGCCTTTGAAAGGATTGCTTCAAGGCTTAACACATACGTGCCGTATTTGCCTAAGATCAGCAAATGTATTTTTAGCAGTAAAACAAAGGCGCCATTTCTCACCCTAAATGTCACTGGTTCTGAGCCTCGAGCAAGAGACAACTGCCGAATATTTGAATATTGTTATCATTCTACAAAGCGAATGCCAAAATACTGAACCAGCCTGAAGGTTTCAGGATATCTCTACAAGACAGTCTTGTATTGTAGCCTCCATTATACAAATGCTACTTCGCCATGCTTCAGTCAAAGACAAATTTTTAGTATTTAAAGGGAGTCTCTAGGCTCAGTGAAAGGGTAATGGCTCAACATTTGTGGATTCTAGTCTGGCATATGAGTGATGACCAATGAAGAGCAAATGTGATACCTTTTCTCCCAAGTGCTCCAGGTGGGTGACTGATCTCTACAACAATATTTCTTGAACTATGGGTTGGGGGCCAAACTGGGTCACAGACATGTTTGTGGTGGGTCGCTGTAGTAACTGTTGCCTACATAGTGCAAAAATCAATGAAGAGTAATATAATGTGCTTTGTTTATCTATTAAACCCTGGATCAGCCTTTCTCAAACTTTTTACTCCTGAGGAAATAATATTCAGGCTCTTGGGCAAACCCCCACTGAAAAGGATTATATCTACAGCTCAGGATACATTGGCATGGCCAATAATATAAAGAACATTTTGAATAATAAAATATGTAGTATGCCTAGCATTTTTCACACCCAGGGCAAATAATTTGTTACCAACCTTCCACAAAGGTATTTTCAATAATATACACAAAATTAATAATAACCTCAGAAAAGAAAGGCAATTAGTGGAAATTGTGGTACTTTCTTGAATTACCATTGTAGAAGTGACCCCTTACGTTGGTGGTTAGTGGAAAATTGCCCCTTGCATTGGTGGCCAGTGTACTTGGGAGAACAATTCACCACTGTTTACTGCTCAAAGAACCCCTAGCAATCTCAGGAGGAACCATCAAGTTGAAACTCGGTTGAGAAACACTGCTCTAGACCAGCCATTCTCAATCAGGGTTCCATGGAACCTTAGAGTTCATCCAGGGGTTGTTAGGAGTTTCTTGAAATTTGGCTGATTGACCTTCCATCTGATGGTGCCTGCATAGTTCCAGAGCCAAAGCCACTTAGTAGAGCCAGCAGCATGACACCAATTATGTTTTTAGCTGTATGTAAGGGAGGCATTCTGACCACTACTCAAAGAGTTCCATTCTTCCTGCTGACCACCAGTGTAACAATGTAAGGGGTATTTTTCTGTTGACCAACCCCCTAATGGATTGATTTTAGATAGGGTTCCCTAAGAACTTAAATCTATTTTTGGGATTCCTCTGGGGTAAAAAGGTTGAAAAAAGCTACTCTAGACTGTGGCCTAAATAGGGACAGGAATGTTATGTGCCACTATGATTTTATTTCTGACCTCTGACATTAAAACCAATTTCTACTCAAACCTTTGATTAGAGGTATATAGACATTTCCAGAGGGCTCTCATTCTAACTGACGTAGCAAGTGTGCCCAGATGTCTTTACTCCTAGTCAATTACAAGTGTATGAAAACCCTAACAATAAACCTCTCCTACAGTGCCTTGCAAAAGTATTCATACCCCTTGCAATTTTCCACATTTTGTCATGTTACAACCAAAAACGTAAATGTATTTTATTGGGATACAGCTGTTTCAGACTTTTTTGGCCATTATCAGTGCAGTGAATGGAAACCATGATTTCTATAGAATGGACCGTGGAACCCAATGGGGATGATTTACTAAAGGAAAATAGACTATGCACTTTGCAAGTGCAGTTGCTCTAAAGTTTAGTAAATAAAGTAAAGCTTCACTTTACATAGAATACCCTATCACATGTAAGGAAACTAAAAAAATGGCATTTTGTCTTTCACACGATTGGACAATGGAAGTCAGCAGAGCTTCCTCTCATTAATAAAAGAGAGATCTTAGCGCGCTAATGGCTAATGTCCATATTTCCAATAAAGTCTATGGCCAATAACAGCTTCAGATAGCAGCCATCTCAGAGTAAGCCAGTTCTGTATGCAAAGGAAAAGGAAAAAGAGAGGAGTCTTCGGAGTGCAGTATGTAAAAGAAGTTTAATGATCCACAATGTAAAAACTCACATAATAGAGAAGTAAAACAAGCCCATCAGTAGACCGTTACTGTGTCCTGCAGGGGTCCGTATCGTGGGGAGCTGGCCGCTAGGGGAGATGACAAATCCCAGGTAGCTGGGGAGAGTGGAGGTCCCACAGTGTAGGATAAGCGTCAGGCAGAATCCCTGGAAGCTGGAGGCAGTCAGGAGTCCAGGGCTCTGTGGTCCGACCAGAACCAGAAGTGACCAGTGTGAACCGCAGCGGGGGTGAAAGTGACGCCATACAGGAAGAGAAGCAGCAAACTGAAAGGAGGACACAGGCTGCGCACTCGGAGCTAACTGCTCCTTCTACTGGCCAGTAACGGTCTACTGATGGGCTTGTTTTACTTCTCTATTATGTGAGTTTTTACATTGTGGATCATTAAACTTCTTTTACATACTGCACTCAGAAGGCGCCTCTCTTTTTCCTTTTCCTGGGCTTCCTCTCATTTACTTAGCTCTGGAGCAACTGCACTTGCAAAGTGCACAGTCTATTTGCCTTTAGTAAATCAACCCCAATGAGTTGTATATCTTTGCTTCCCTAGTAGATGGACATTTTAAAAGTACCTTCTACAGAGATAAGGATTGTACCTGGACTTTTTATCTCAATTACCCCAACAACACTCCTAATTCCTACTGTATCTTTATAGCCTAACCCTATAGAGCAGCGGTTCTCAACCTGGGGGTCGCGACCCCTTTGGGGGTCGAACGACCATTTCCCAGGGGTCGCCTAAGACCATCGGAAAACATATTTCCGATGGTCTTAGGAACCGAGACACCGCTGCTGTCTCCGGCGATGTGTGGGCGGGATGATATGCTGCCCCTGTCACCGCCTCCTCGTCGCTGATTGGCCACCGGAACTGTAGCTCAGGAGAGGCACACAGGCGGCCAATCACCGGCGAGAAGGTGGAGCTTGGAGAGGAGGAGCCGAGCGGCAGCGCGCGGAGATCGAAGAAGATTGAGGGAGCTGCAGGAACGAGTGAAGAGAGAGGCAAGAGAAGGAAGACAGCTGACAGGTAAGTGCAAATTTTGCTGCTGCAGCCAGGTATGCAGGCTGTAGATGGGAGAGGGAGAGAGCGAGCCCAGGCTGGAGCAGGAGTCAGCAAGGTAAGTATCATTAGTGTCAGTGGAAGGGATAGTGCCCCATCATTTGTGTCACTAATACCAACGATGGGGCACTATTCCTCCCCCCACTGACACCAACGATGGGGCACTATTCCTCCCCCCACTGACACCAACGATGGGGCACTATACCTACCCCCACTGACACCAACGATGAGACAGTATTCCTCCCTCACTGACATACCACTACCCCCCCCACTGACGCAACGATGGGGCACTATTCCTCCCCCCACTGACGCCAACGATGGGGCACTATTCCTCCCCCCACTGACGCCAACGATGGGGCACTATTCCTCCCCCCACTGACGCCAACGATGGGGCACTATTCCTCCCCCCACTGACGCCAACGATGGGGCACTATTCCTCCCCCCACTGACGCCAACGATGGGGCACTATTCCTCCCCCACTGACGCCAACGATGGGGCACTATTCCTCCCCCCACTGACGCCAACGATGGGCACTATTCCTCCCCCCAACGCCAACGATGGGGCACTATTCCTCCCCCCACTGACGCCAACGATGGGGCACTATTCCTCCCCCCACTGACGCCAACGATGGGGGCACTATTCCTCCCCCCACTGACGCCAACGATGGGGCACTATTCCTCCCCCCACTGACGCCAACGATGGGGCACTATTCCTCCCCCCACTGACGCCAACGATGGGGCACTATTCCTCCCCCCACTGACGCACGATATTCCTCCCCCCACTGACGCCAACGATGGGGCACTATTCCTCCCCCCACTGACGCCAACGATGGGGCACTATTCCTCCCCCCACTGACGCCAACGATGGGGCACTATTCCTCCCCCCACTGACGCCAACGATGGGGCACTATTCCTCCCCCCACTGACGCCAACGATGGGGCACTATTCCTCCCCCCATTGACGCCAACGATGGGGCACTATTCCTCCCCCCACTGACGCCAACGATGGGGCACTATTCCTCCCCCCACTGACGCCAACGATGGGGCACTATTCCTCCCCCCACTGACGCCAACGATGGGGCACTATTCCTCCCCCCACTGACGCCAACGATGGGGCACTATTCCTCCCCCCACTGACGCCAACGATGGGGCACTATTCCTCCCCCCACTGACGCCAACGATGGGGCACTATTCCTCCCCCCACTGACGCCAACGATGGGGCACTATTCCTCCCCCCACTGACGCCAACGATGGGGCACTATTCCTCCCCCCACTGACGCCAACGATGAAGGCACTATTCCTCCCCCCACTGACGCCAACGATGGGGCACTATTCCTCCCCCCACTGACGCCAACGATGGGGCACTATTCCTCCCCCCACTGACGCCAACGATGGGGCACTATTCCTCCCCCCACTGACGCCAACGATGGGGCACTATTCCTCCCCCCACTGACGCCAACGATGGGGCACTATTCCTCCCCCCCACTGACGCCAACGATGGGGCACTATTCCTCCCCCCACTGACGCCAACGATGGGGCACTATTCCTCCCCCCACTGACGCCAACGATGGGGCACTATTCCTCCCCCCACTGACGCCAACGATGGGGCACTATTCCTCCCCCGCCACTGACGCCAACGATGGGGCACTATTCTTCCCCCCACTGACGCCAACGATGGGGCACTATTCCTCCCCCCCCACTGACGCCAACGATGGGGCACTATTCCTCCCCCCACTGACGCCAACGATGGGGCACTATTCCTCCCCCCACTGACGCCAACGATGGGGCACTATTCATCCCACTGACATCAGTGATGGGGCGCTAGTCCTCCCACTGCAAAATTACAGTTATGAAGTAGCAACGAAAATAATTTTATGGTTGGGGGTCACCACAACATGAGGAACTGTATTAAGGGGTCGCGGCATTAGAAAGGTTGAGAACCACTGCTATAGAGCAACCACAACTGTTCAACTCTGACTAAAAAAAAATAGTTGAGTTTTTTAATTATTTACTGCTCCACCTCCAATCAGAAAACACTTTGCATTCATTCAGAAAAAAGCAAAGCATCCTTTGAATGGCCCAGTACCTAGTGGCTGATTTTCTGTGTTCAGAATGCAGCTGGCCAGTTGCTTGGCATGGGACCCGGAAGCAAGTGTAGCGATGTCTACTTGAGTGACCTCCAGGGGCATCAGCCAGGTATGGTATATACATAGATATATAGGTCCAAGCTGAACCCTACATCAAAGTCATCATTGTTCAAGCGCCCAACAAACACCCCACCAAGACTCCAACCTCTATAACACCTTTCACCCAGAATTAGTTTCATCGTAGAGATTTTGATGAATCTATGATTAACCCCTTCCCGTTTAGACCCTGCATTCCTTTAATAGGGTGTATTGAGAAGGATTGGCTAATCACATGAACACTGTAATTGGCTGTCACAGCGGTCACATGATTGGGACCCAGTCATGAGACTCCCAATAATTAGTACAGTCCTAGGGCTATCTTTAGCAGCTTTGTCACTGTGCTTGGAACATGATCTACAGCTCATAGATGCAAGGATGCATGGGCATTAAAGCCCACCCTCTCGCCCGCCACATATACACTTTGTTGCCAAAAGTATTGGGACACCTGCCTTTACACACACATGAACTTTAATGGCATCCCAGTTGTAGTCCATAGGGTTCAATATTGAGTTGGCCCCGCCCTTTGCAGCTATAACAGCTTCAACTCTTCTGGGAAGGCCGTCCACAAGGTTTAGGAGGGTGTCTATGGGAAGGTTTGACCATTCTTCCAGAAGTGCATCTGTGAGGTCAGGCACTGATGTCGGGGGAGGAGGTCTGGCTCGCAGTCTCTGCTCTAATTCATCCCAAAGGTGTTCTATCAGGTTAAAGTTAGGACAGTCAAATCGCTCAACCGCAAACTTGGTCATCCATGTCTTTATGGACCTTTCTTTGTGCACTGGATGTTGGAACAGGAAGGGGCCATCCCCAAACTCTTCGCACAAAGTTGGGAGCATGAAATTGTCCAAAATGTCCTGGTATGTTGACGCCTTAGGAGTTCCCTTCACTGGATCTAAGGGGCCAAGCCCAACCCCTGAAAAACAACCCCCCACCATAATCCCCCCTCCACCAAACTTTACACTTGGCACAATGCAGTCAGGCAAGTACCATTCTCCTGGCAACCACCAAACCCAGACATGTCCATCAGACTGCCAGACAGAGAACTGTGATTAGTCACTCCAGAGAACATGTCTCCACTGCTCTAGAGTCCAGTGGCGGCGTGCTTTACACCACTGCATCCGACGCTTTGCATTGCACTTGGTGATGTGAAGCTTTGACTCAGACAGGTAGCGATTTCTGCGCACTGTGCGCTTCAGCATGCGTTGACCACCGCTCTGTCATGTTACGTGGCCTCCCACTTGGTGGCTGAGTTGCTGTTGTTCCCAGTTGCTTCCACTTTGTTATAATACCACTAACAGTTGACGTGGAATATTTAGTAGCCAGGAAATGTCACGGATGGACTTATTGCACAGGTGGCAACCTATCACGGGACCACGCTTGGAGTCACTGAGCTCCTGAGAAGCGACCCATTCTTTCACAAATGTTTGTAGAAGCAGTCTGCATGCCTAGGTGATGATTTTATACACCTGTGGCCATGGAGGTGATTGGAACACCTGAATCCACTGACTTGGAGGGCGGGCCCAATACGTTTGGCAATGTAGTGTATGTGTTATATGGGGAGCAAGAGGTTAAGCCCATTCTGAGTGAATTGGGTAAGAGAGAATGAAGTCTTGGCTGGGTGCATGTTGTGTACCTGAACAATAAATCTATTTCGACTTTCATGAAGTTTAGTAAAAAAATTATCTAAAATCTTTGATAACGTGGTAACAACATACATTTAGCAGACAGAACACCCTAGAAATCTCACCCCCCTGCTCTTGCACCTGGCAAACCAGGAATAGCCCAGAGATTGAAATAAGGTTCCAGGCATCTCCTATGTCCTTAGGCTGGGTGCATCTCCGATGAGATATTTGGAAGTGTTTTTATATTACAGCACTGGAGTTGATAAGACTTGATCTGATGACAATAAGTAAAGCCTCCCACTGAGTACTCACTTTTAGAAAGTGCAATGCAAGGCTCACAAACCTAAAAATCTTTGCGAAAATCTTTGCAATACATTTCAATTTTTTCACTGTTAAAGCAGAATTTCGCTTTAAAGCTCCCCATCCCCACCCCAAAAATGCTACTCCCTTGTTGTATTTTATACTTTGTTCATGCAAGATGGAGGGACTGTTATGGATGTTTTCCCACTTTCTGTACCATTACACTGTGAAAGAAGGGTGCTGCGGTCATGGTTCCTCAGGGGCGGGTCCTTGAAGCCCTGCCCTGCATTCATAGGATTCCCTCAGTCTTCAGGGTTGAATGACACTAGTGAACTAAGGACCTCTAGTGGCAGAAAAGAATTACTGCAGGACTGAGCTGGAGATAAGGTTACTATAACAGTTACAGCTTTTTTTGTTTTTTTTATTGTAAATACATTTTTTCAAAATGCCTGGAGTTGGACCTATATGTGTTCATATTAATGATAGCCTTACTTATTTTATTCATCCGGACAAAATAAAGGGCCATCGGCCAGGACAGAAGGGTCATGCATGCCAGGGAGCCAATGTGCAGGTATGGAGCCGTCACCTACAAATAGGGAAACACAGAGGTAGTACCAAATACAAGAGAATACAAGAGAAATGATATGCATTAGCAGCCAACTGGATGTCAGCTTTCAGGTCTTAGAGAGGCAAAGAGAATTTCTGACTAGATGCTATAGAGAAGTGCCAGTTGTGGGAGGATTGGGCCTTTGAATAGTAAGGTTACCCAAAACTGATACTTAAGTCATGGGTGAAATTTGGTGGGGCGAGTCAGTACCCAGATTCTTATACGTCTTAGATACTCAAGATCTCTCTGCCTGCCTTTGCTTCATGGCACTGCCTGTCAAACTCGCCCATTGAGTTCAATGGTGCCACACTGCAACCACGAGCCAAATGCTTGGCTTGCAGTTGCTGCGCGGTCCTGCAATGTAAAATTGCCATTCAGTAATTATAATACAAAAGTTAAAAACACATCTGTCAACAGCTGCTACACCGCAGTCTGAAAAGTGATTCACCGCGCATTGCTTTTTAGAGGGCGGTAAGCAGTAGCTCTCATGTGAAAGAAGCCTTAGTGAAATACAGTTGAAAGCAATTGTGTGTACCTGGAAGGAAAGGCGAACAGCGGACCATTCTTCACCCCACAAATTAGAAAGGGCAGCAAGAGCGGCAATAAATAACACAAGAACGACCAGCGTCCCAACCTGCCAGAGATAAGAGGGGTCAGTAGGACAACAAACCAATGGAATGACATGAAAACAAACTAACAAAAGGTGAGCCATACAGCAGCAACAGTGATACTATAACTGATTTATAGCTGACAAGTTACGACCACCTAAAACATGACATTTGATAGGGACAATTGATGTAAGGGGACACCGTGATGGGACAATTGATATAAGGGGACACTGTGATGGGGACGTCTGATGTAAGGGGACACTGTGATGGGACAATTGATGTAAGGGGACACTGTGATGGGGACTTCTGATGTAAGGGGACACTGTGATGGGACAATTGATGTAAGGAGACACTGTCATGGGGACTTCTGATGTAAGGGGACACTGTGATGGGGACTTCTGATGTAAGAGGACACTGTGATGGAGACACCTTGTGTAAGGGGGGCACTGTGATTGGGACACCTGATGCAAGGGGACACTGTGATGGGACATCTGATGTAAGGGGACACTGTGATAGGAAATTTGATGTAAGGGGACACTGTGATGGGGACGCCTGGTGTAAGGGGGGCACTGTGATGGGACACCTGGTGTAAGGAGACACTGTGATGGGAAATCTGATGTAAGGAGACATTGTGATGGGACATCTGATGTAAGGGGACACTGTGATGGGACATCTGATGTAAGGGGACACTGTGATGGGAAATTTGATGTAAGGGGACACTGTGATGGGGACGCCTGGTGTAAGGGGGGGACTGTGATGGGACATCTGATGTAATGGGACACTGTGATGGGAAATCTGATGTAAGGGGACACTGTGATGGGAAATCTGATGTAAGGAGACACTGTGATGGGAAATCTGATGTGAGGGGACACTGATGGGAAATCTGATGTAAGGGGACACTGTGATGGGAAATCTGATGTAAGGAGACACTGTGATGGGAAATCTGATGTAAGGGGACACTGATGGGAAATCTGATGCAAGGGGACACTGTGATGGGACACCTGGTGTAAGGGGACACTGTGATGGGAAATCTGATGTAAGGGGACACTGTTATGGGACACCTGGTGTAAGGGGACACTGTGATGGGACACCTGGTGTAAGGGGACACTGTGATGGGACATCTGATGTAAGGAGACACTGTGATGGGGCACCTGGTGTAAGGGGACACTGTGATGGGACACCTGGTGTAAGGGGACACTGTGATGGGACACCTGATGTAAGGGGACACTGTGATGGGACACCTGGTGTAAGGGGACACTGTGATGGGAAATCTGATGTAAGGGGACACTGTGATGGGAAATCTGATGTAAGGGGACACTGTGTTGGGACATCTGATGTAAGGAGGCACTGTGATGGGACATCTGATGTAAGGGGACACTGTGATGGGACAATTGATGTAAGAGGACACTGTGATGGGAAATTTGATGTAAGGGGACACTGTGATGGGACACCTGGTGTAAGGGGGGCACTGTGATGGGAAATCTGATGTAAGGAGACACTGTGATGGGACATCTGATGTAAGGAGACACTGTGATGGGAAATCTGATGTAAGGAGACATTGTGATGGGACATCTGATGTAATGGGACACTGTGATGGGAAATCTGATGTAAGGAGACATTGTGATGGGACATCTGATGTAATGGGACACTGTGATGGGACACCTGGTATAAGGGGGGCACTGTGATGGGACATCTGATGTAAGGGGACACTGTGATGGGAAATCTGATGTAAGGAGACACGGTGATGTCTTATGTAAGGGGGGCACTGTGATGGGAAATCTGATGTAAGGAGACACGGTGATGGGAAATTTGATGTAAGGGGGGCACTGTGATGGGACATCTAATGTAAGGAGACACTGTGATGGGACACCTGATGTAAGGGGACACTGTGATGGGAAATCTGATGTAAGGAGACACTGTGATGGGACATCTGATGTAAGGAGACACTGTGATGGGAAATCTGATGTAAGGGGACACTGTGATGGGAAATCTGATGTAAGGAGACACTGTGATGGGACATCTGATGTAAGGAGACACTGTGATGGGACACCTGATGTAAGGGGACACTGTGATGGGAAATCTGATGTAAGGAGACACTGTGATGGGACATCTGATGTAAGGGGGACACTGTGATGGGACATCTGATGTAAGGGGGACACTGTGATGGGGAAATCTGATGTAAGGAGACACGGTGATGGGAAATCTGATGTAAGGGGGACACTGTGATGGGGACGCCTGATGTAAGGGGGGCACTGTGATGGGACATCTGATGTAAGGAGACACGGTGATGGGAAATCTGATGTAATGGGGACACTGTGATGGGGACGCCTGATGTACGGGGGACACTGTGATGGGAAATCTGATGTAAGGAGACACGGTGATGGGACATCTGATGTAAGGGGGGCACTGTGATGGGACATCTGATGTAAGGGGACACTGTGATGGGAAATCTGATGTAAGGAGACACTGTGATGGGACATCTGATGTAAAGGGACACTGTGATGGGAAATGTGATGTAAGGAGACACGGTGATGGGAAATCTGATGTATCGGGGACACTGTGATGGGAAATCTGATGTATCGGGGACACTGTGATGGGACATCTGATGTATCGGGGACACTGTGATGGGGACGCCTGATGTAAGGGGACACTGTGATGGGACATCTGATGTAAGGGGACACTGTGATTGGACATCTGATGTAAGGGGACACTCTGAGGGGGACAGTTGATATAAAGGGACACTGTGATGGGAACACGTGATGCAATGGGGCACTTTGATGAAGGCATCCCATAAAATGTCTGAACAAATACTTTCATGGGAAGATTACCAGAAATCACATTTCATTCAGGGCTAATTCACACTAGTGCATTGATCTGCATTTTAGCAAAGCTGTAAGGACACTTAAAAAAACATAATAATCAAAAAAGCTTCACGAGCAATAAATATGCTATACTAATACTAAATACTACCGAAAGCAGCTCACACTAGCCACATACTCATAACATGTGCATCAATACAAAACATATAATCCGATCCATTGATGGTCAGAGCAGATGAGTGAAGAAATTTCTCTGTATTCCTGTCTTACAACACTGTTCGTTTTTTAAAAGGCGCTATATATCTGGAGCGATGTAGCACCTTTGATCTGTGAGTGGCCACTTTTATGTTTTAATAAAGCTGAGTGTTTTTAAGGATAAAGCACTATTGTGTTTCCTATCTTTTTCTATCATATACACTGCGTGGATGAGGAGAGATCAAGGGAGTGTTGATCTCTGGAGGAAAGAGTCTAAACCCGGGGGAATACCCAGGGGCGGACTGACCATTTGGAAACTAGGGCACTGCCCGAGGGCCCGGGGTCAGTAGGGGGCCCCATGAGATGCCCCTGGTACCTTTTTCATAGGCTTTTTTGAGTTTTGGCAAGGACACAGGGACCCTATGATCCCCTATTGCCCGGGGGCCCCATGAATTGTCAGTCCGCCCCTGGGTATACCTATCAGTTTATGTCCACTTCAAGGGGCGCATGCGTTGTGTGACCGAACATAACGTGAGGTCAGATATTCCAGGTGAGGGCACATCTGGTGATTCATGGTGGAGAATTAAGATGTATGAAGATATGAAGTGTTTTGAGATTTAATCAAGTTGAAGAAATCACTATTTAGAGACTTTGCTGTTTCAGTTGATGCATGTTCACTTGCATTGATTAATGTTCACCACAAAATTATTTTTTTTTTGATATTTTGGTTTCTATTTGTTGTAAGGAAGAGCTGCGCTGTATTTTTATATGTTTTGTATTGAGACACCTAAAAAAAAACAATAGTTGTATGCATTTTAATGCAACGTAGGTCCGTGCTTGTAAAATGCAAGTAAAGAAAAAAAAGTTTTGCTTTTCCATTCCTTCTCTAACCCACAGCATGTAATTTTACAGGAAATCCTGCTAAAGCAATGAATTTTAAATTGCTAAAATCAAAACATGCATTAACGCAAGTCAATGCGCATTAAAATACATCCATTTTCCCTGCATTTTATTGCAAGTCAATGTAAATTCAGCCTTAAAGTGAAACTTTTTTTTTTTTCATTTTGGATACAGAAAGCCTCTGTTAGATGATTTTGTGCCCCCCATTGGGGAGATTTACCTTCACTTCCTGTCCCATAGCCAAAACAGGATGTGAGAGACAATCCATGCAAACTAAGGGAAATTAAGGAAATCTTGGGGACCCCCAGGTCTCCAGAACTAGTGTCCCGATTGGAAGATTTCCCCTCTATTACTTTTCTAGGGACAACCCAAAATTTGGGACTTTTTATTTTCGCTTTCAATGATAATGGTAAATATGACAAATAAAGAGGATGAATCTTCCTAATGGGGACTGCGATAAAAACTGATGGGGGTTCTAATCCATCTACACCACCACGTTTTACAGTGGGGATGGTGTGTTTCAGGGTGATGTGCAGTGTTAGTTTTCCACCACATATAGTGGTTTGCTTTTAGGCCAAAAAGCTCACTTTTGGTCTCATCTGACCAGAGCACCTTCTTCCACATGTTTGCTGTGTCCCCCACATGGCTTCTTGCAAAATGCAAACGGGACGTCTTATGGCTTTCTTTCAACAATGGCTTTCTTCTTGCCACTCTTCTATAAAGGCCACATCTGTGGAGTGCATGACTAATAGCTATCCTGTGGACAGATTCTCCCACCTGAGCTGTGGATCTCCGCAGCTCCTCCAGAGTTACCATGGGCCTCTTGGCTGCTTATCTGATTTATGTTCTCCTTGCCCAGCCTGTCAGTTTAGGTGGACGGCCATGTCTTGGTAGGTTTTCAGTTGTACCATACTCTTTCCATTTCGGATGATGGATTGAACAGTGCTCCGTGAGATGTTCAAAGCTTGGGATATTTTTTTATAACCTAACCCTGCTTTAAATTACTCCACAACTTTATTCCTGACCTGTCTGGTGTGTTCCTTGGCCTTCATGCTGTTTGTTCACTAATGTTCTCTAACAAACCTCTGAGGGCTTCACAGAACAGCTGTGGTTAAACTGAGATTACATTACACACAAGTGGACTCTATACACTAATTAGGTGACTTCTGAAGGCAATCGGTTCCACTAGATTTTAGTTAGGGGTATCAGAGTAAAGGGGGCTGAACACAAATGCACACCACACTTTTCAGATATTTATTTGTAAAAAATGTTGAAAACCTTTTATCATTTTCCTTCCACTTCACAATTATGTGCCACTTTGTGTTGGTCTATCACATAAAATCCCAATAAAATACATTTACGTTTTTGGTTTTAACATGACAAAATGTGGAAAATTTCAAGGGGTACGAATACTTTTTCAAGGCACTGCAATTAGCAAAACTCATTCTCCTTTCTGAGTGGCTAGCTTTAGCTATGACTCACTAGTGTGGGACCTTGGCAGAGAGACCACTGCTTTCATGTTCTTAGTCAATGTGTGTTAGTTTTGATGTATTATAAGTAATAATGACCCCCCCCCCCCCCGCAATACATTGTTAAGGGTATAAGGATCCCAAATGAAGATTCAACATAGTCAGTAGTTGATAACAACATTATAGCTTTCAGATGTAACTGACATACTGTATTAACTGAGTCTTACCTTGTGACACCAGTGTAGATAGAGCTGCTGACCTTCTGACAACAAACATACTGCTAAAACCTAAAAAAAAAATATATATGTTGCGGATAAATTATTTTAACCCCTTCACGCCTAAGGGTAAAACAAAATCTTAATGCCTATACAAAAAAATTCTGCAACGTTGATGTTGATAGTAAAACCGTACATATCATCACAACTACTTCATACATCCAGGTGGATTATACCTTGATTTTTTTCAGGACAAATTGGTCTTTCATTTGGTGGTAAATGGTAATGGATAGCTCCTAATTTTTTTTATTATCAAAGGAAAACTGGCCTAAAATAGTAAAATAAAATATTTTTTTTATTTAGCTGTGTGTTTCTTGTTACGACCATAACCTACCACCAAAGAACAACCCAAAATAAATTCTCCAGCTCTTGACGATCGCAGCGATACCATATATGTGTATGTTATTTGTTGTTTGTACCCGTAGTACAGCCCAGAAACAATAGTGCGCATTTTGTTTTTGTCTTTTTTTTTTTTTTTACCTAAAACACACTGACACTGAAATTAGCACTAACTGACACTGATACCATTTTTTTAAAAATTAAATCCTGACCTTTGACCCTAACCTTGACCCAAACACTAACCCTGGCACTGAAGTAGATCAAACCTTGATCTAGGTATTTTTCTTTATTTTTTATTTTATTTTTTAATATTTATTTATTTATCTTTTTTTTTTAACAAACATTTTTATTTCTCTCTATGCCAGGAGTTAGAGAGATACAATGTATAATAGGATGTATATAATGATACAATGTATAATAGGATGTATATAATGATACAATGTATCTCTCTTTTCCATTCATGGAGAGAAAAAAAACAAGGGGGCCGAGCTACACAGTGACTGATCACTGTGATAGCCAATCAGAGCCTATCACAGCGATCACGTGACCCGGAATCAGGAGTCCCGGGTCCCAATCATTACAACGGGATCCAGGGCTCTCAGTGATACTGCGGTCTCTGTGCTGGGAGTGCGCCGAGCGGCGCGCTCCCAGCACAAAGACAGGTACGCAAATATGTGGCCCCATGGAAAAAAGCCCAGTTCTGTGAGGACGCATATTTGTGTGCCGTCGGCGTCAAGGGGTTAAAAATCAAAGGCCAAATCTTTCACCATTCATTCACACTCCAATTATTGCAATGGCCAATAAAATTGAATATCACTATATGATTCATGTTAATCCTAACATACTTGTGAGCAGGGGCGGACTGACCATTTGGAAAAGTGGGCACTGCCCAAGGGCCCCGGGGTCAGTAGGGGGCCCCATGAGATGCCCCTGGTACCTTTTTCATAGGCTTTTTTGAGTTTGAGCAAGGACACAGGGGCCCCATGATCCCCTATTGCCGGGGGCACCATGAGTTGTCAGTCCGCCCCTTTTGACGGCATAAAGAGATCAAATCATTCACATCAGTCTCCGCCCCTGAGGATCTCACAATGACTTCTTGTAGTTTTCTGCAAGTAGTTTGTAGTGGGTGGGGCCTTCTAGGTTCCTCCCACAGCTCTGTTCTCTGCACAGGCTATGTACAGCACAGATGCTACTGTGACAATAGACAGAAAAAAAAATCCTTTGCAGCTTAAACTGCCCAAAAAATGGGGCCTCATACCTGTTTTATTATACATCTAACTGCCTTTAAAGGGCTCTTTCACAGGGGCGGCTGCCAGGATTTTACTACCCCCTGGCTACAGACCTGAACTGTAAGAATACAGCCAGACAAGGCGACACACTTGGTGTGGCAGTGATGCTTTGCGGCATTATTGTGGCCTTTTTACCTCGGGCTGCAGGGATTAACACTGAGTTTAATGAGGCCACACTGCAACCACAAGCCCAACACTCAGCTCGCTGCTGCATTGCAATCTTGCAATATAAAATTGCCACTGGGCAATAAAAAAGATATAAGTAAGGAAAAGAAAACAAACAAGCAAAAAACTGACATTTAGAAAGCGACAGTAGTGCTATACTGCTACTGCCCTCTGAAAAGTGACCCGAATCAGATCACTTTTCCGAGGGTGGTATGTTTACCGCACATGTGAAAGAAGACTAATGCTTCTTAAAATAGTTTCAATCGTTTTAATTATGTACAGGATTGTACAGGAAAAATCAAATCTTCACTGAGACACATCTGGTCCTAATCTTGTACGTCAGGACTGAGCGTGCTGATTTTGCATCTGACATTTCCGGGACGCTAAGTATGCAAATTGTGGGCCCATTCAAAGTGCCTGAAAAATATGTGTAACTGCACTGGCTGTGCTTCTGAAAGAGGGATTATGGGAAATTTAACGACGTGCTCTGAGCCAAGCTCTAATTTCCAACACATGCGATTTACAGCACACAGCCCTCGATCCCCTCATGTTTTGCATTGTATTGGTATTGTTCTGTCACATGTTCTGCCCCCCTTTGTAATGTACAGAGCTGAGCGAACTATTGGCGCTTTATAAATACTGTATAATAATAAAATAATAATAACTGCACTGGCTGTGCTTCTGAAAGAGGGATTATGGGAAATTTAACGACGTGCTCTGAGCCAAGCTCTAATTTCCAACACATGCGATTTATCTGCAAAGGAAAAGCCTTGAAATGCCTGCCGACGTTCTGCCAAAAAGGGTTCTTCCTAAAAGGAAAGCTCCACTGAGAAAAGGGCTGCCATTGCTGGCCTCTGCTTCTGAAAAATCTAGTTGCCTGGCTGCCTTGCTGATCCAATAGCTTGGGTATTTTCTGAACCACCACCCTGGAACAGTGCAGATCAGGTGACCTCCCTGGACGGCTGCTTGTTTGGAGAGTATGAAAGTCAGAGACAGCCAGGCAACAAGGATTTTCAGAAGGAGAACAGCATCAACATCCTAGGGCAGCACAGTTGCTAAATGGTTAGTACTTCTACCTGGCAGTACTCAGGTTGTTGGTTCAAATCCCAACCACGGCACCTCCTGCTTGGAGTTTGCATGTTCTCCCCTGTGCCTGTGTGGGTTTCCTCCAGGGACTCCGGTTTCCTCCCACACTCCAAAGACATGCTGGTAGGTTAATTGGATCCTGTCTAAATTGGCCCTAGTATATATGAAATTGACCTTAGATTGTACGCCCCTTGAGGGTTAGGGACTGATGTGAATGTACAATATATATGTAAAGCGCTGCGTAAAACGATGGTGCTATATAAGTACCCTTAAAAAATAAATCAATTGGAAGACCGGACCTTTTCTGGCACTTTTTGTTCACCTGTAACAATCAGTATTTTTTGCTAGAAAATTTCTTGGAGCCCCCAAACATTGGGGTCTGCAAGACCCTTAAAGTGTTCCTAAACCCACAACAGTAAAATCAGTCTGTATATGGGAGACCAGATATAGTGAATGCAGGATCCTGGGAGACCAGATATAGTGAATGCAGGGTCCTGGGAGACCAGATATAGTGAATGCAGGGTCCTGGGAGACCAGATATAGTGAATGAAGGGTCCAGGGAGACCAGATATAGTGAATGCAGGATCCTGGGAGACCAGATATAGTGAATGCAGGGTCCTGGGAGACCAGATATAGTGAATGCGGGGTCCTGGGAGACCAGATATAGTGAATGCGGGGTCCTGGGAGACCAGATATAGTGAATGCAGGGTCCAGGGAGACCAGATATAGTGAATGAAGGGTCCAGGGAGACCAGATATAGTGAATGCAGGATCCTGGGAGACCAGATATAGTGAATGCAGGGTCCTGGGAGACCAGATATAGTGAATGCAGGGTCCTGGGAGACCGGATATAGTGAATGCAGGGTCTTAGGAGACCAGATATAGTGAATGCAGGGTCCGGGGAGACCAGATATAGTGAATGCAGGGTCCGGGCAGACCAGATATAGTGAATGCAGGGTCCTGGGAGACCGGATATAGTGAATGCAGGGTCCTGGGAGACCAGATATAGTGAATGCAGGATCCTGGGAGACCAGATATAGTGAATGCGGGGTCCTGGGAGACCAGATATAGTGAATGCGGGGTCCGGGGAGACCAGATATAGTGAATGCAGGGTCCTGGGAGACCAGATATAGTGAAAGCAGGGTCCTGGGAGACCAGATATAGTGAATGCAGGGTCCAGGGAGACCAGATATAGTGAATGCAAAATCCTGGGAGACCAGATATAGTGAATGCAGGATCCGGGCAGACCAGATATAGTGAATGCAGGATCCTGGGAGACCAGATATAGTGAATGCAGGGTCCTGGGAGATCAGATATAGTGAATGCAGAATCCTGGGAGACCAGATATAGTGAATGCAGGGTCCTAGGAGACCAGATACAGTGAATGCAGGGTCCTGGGAGACCCGATATAGTGAATGCAGGGTCCAGGGAGACCAGATATAGTGAATGCAGAATCTTGGGAGACCAGATATAGTGAATGCAGGATCCGGGCAGACCAGATATAGTGAATGCAGGATCCTGGGAGACCAGATATAGTGAATGCAGGATCCGGGAGACCAGATATAGTGAATGCAGGATCCTGGGAGACCAGATATAGTGAATGCAGGATCCGGGGAGACCAGATATAGTGAATGCAGGGTCCGGGGAGACCAGATATAGTGAATGCAGGGTCCGGGGAGACCAGATATAGTGAATGCAGGGTCCTGGGAGACCAGATATAGTGAATGCAGGGTCCTGGGAGACCAGATATATGGAATGCAGGGTCCTGGGAGACCAGATATAGTGAATGCAGGGTCCGGGGAGACCGGATATAGTGAATGCAGGGTCCGGGGAGACCAGATATAGTGTGAATGCAGAATCCTGGGAGATCAGATATAGTGAATGCAGGGTCCTGGGAGACCAGATATAGTGAATGCAGGATCCTGGGAGACCAGATATAGTGAATGCGGGGTCCGGGAGACCAGATACAGTAAATGCAGAGTCCGGGGAGACCAGATATAGTGAATGCAGGGTCCGGGGAGACCAGATATAGTGAATGCAGGATCTTGGGAGACCAGATACAGTGAATGCGGGGTCCGGGGAGACCAGATACAGTAAATGCAGAGTCCGGGGAGACCAGATATAGTGAATGCAG